CGCAGCCGCTTCTCTCCTGTGGAGGCCTGGTACTAGAAGTGGGGCAGCTGGGGCAGCCGGATGGCTGTCTGGGCCTGGGCCCGGCCTGTACCCACCTCCTTGACATTTTTCTTGCCGTAGCTGATCTCCCTGCAGCCGTAGGTCCCGGGTCCTAGGTAGGTCTGAGTCAGAGCACAGTCAGCGCCGGGCCAGCCACACCCACCCAGTCCACCCACAGCAAGTCCTCACGAAGCTGCCCCCTGACCTGGGCGTGCCCTGGCCCTCTCTGCCCCACCCCCGGCACCTCGCCTGGCACCGTGGGGCCTGGTACTCAAGGAACCAACATGAACCCCTTTGCCATTGGCCTCCTCACACTTCAGGGAGGAGTCACTCGTGCAGGAGCCCACAGCCAGCCAGTGCAAAGAGGCGGGGCTGGAACCCAGGTCTTGGTGGCCCCCACCCACGCTGTCTTCACTGCAGTCCTGCCCTGGCTCTCCACACGCTCTGTGCTGAGGCCTAAGGGCGGGGAGAGGGGTCAGGCTTATCCCTAGATGGCTCCGCGCATCCACCCCGGTGCAGGACTCAGAGGGCAGAGGCCGGCCGACGTGGGAGGGTCAGCGAAGCTGGGAGACTCACGTAGTTCATGGAATGAACCTGGGCCTTCATGAAGGTTCTCAGCTTCTTCTGCTCAGGACAAACAGCAGACACATCAAACCTGGGGAAGGACAGGGGCCGTGGGAGAGCCCAGCGCCTGGCCCCCGCCCCAGCACGAGCAGGCTGGGGGCAGGGAAGGTGGCTTTGGAGCCAGTCCGTGAAGGGCGACTGCCCTGCTCCCATCTCAGGGCCTTCGTGCTTCCTGGTCACCTCCCGCTCTGGCCTGGTCCCCTTCCCGCCACTGGGAGCCTTTCCTCAAACCCCCGCCCCACCCCCCAGCACTCCCCTCCTCCTCCTCCCCCCAGCTTTCTTTGAACCCCAACATTTAATATAGTGTCCTTTTTTTGTTTATTATCCACTCCAACCACCCCGCCCTACAAGCTTGCAGACCCGAGCACAAGGTTTTGCAGTTTTGTTCACTGCTGTGTCCCCAGGTGCTACCACATACAGCCTAGGCGGTATGTATACCTCAGCGTCATATGTACGTGTGAATGAAGAGAGACCCCTGGACTGAAACCCCACCCACCACTTTTCAGCTGAGCGACCTGCTATGTCCGGGCCAGGGCACTTGGCCTCTGGGCCTGGCACCTTGTAGGTGCTTTGGAAATGGTTCTAAATAGTTTAATAACAGTGATCAACAGACTCTAGTCGAAACCGGTTTGGCTCAATGGATAGAGCCTCTGCCTGAAGGGTCCCCGGTTCGATTCTGGTCAAGGACAGGTACCTTAGTTGCGGGCACATCCCCATAGGGGGAGTGCAGGAGGCAGCTGATCCATGTTTCTCTCTCATGGGTGTATCTAACTCTCTATCTCTCTCCCTTCCTCTCTGTAAAAAAATCAATAAAATACATTAAAAATAAAATAATAATAATAATAATAATAGGAAAAATACTCTAGTGAGGACTAACAAAATAATTTTAAAAATAGAATAAAAAAAGAGTTTAAAAACACATACAAAAAACCAGACTCTAGAACAGGGAAGTGCAGCAGGTATGGGGGTCGGGGTGTCCAGTCTCCCACCCCTCACTGCCCCCCATCCCCACCTCCTTCTACAGCTCCTCCCCTGCCTTGGTGGCCCTTTCTCCTTCCAACTTCCAGCCCAGCTCCACTTGTGGCTCTCTGTACCCCGAAAGGCCAAGGCGCCCCGCTCCGCTGGCGAGGTCCTTGGCGGGCTGGGCCTCCCCTCCCCCGGACTCCTCCGCGGACCGGTCCTCTGGCCTCCGCTGCTGCCACGGCAACCGGGCCAGAGATTTGTGATTCGCAGAGAACCCGGGCGCGTCTGTGCCCACGTGGTGCCCCCGCGGGCCTGCCTGCGCTGCCCCCCGCTTTTTCCTGGCGCTGGGCACGTTTTCACACGCTGCCTCCCCACAGATCCTTCCTGAGCCCTACAGGCTTAATGGCCCCCCCTGGTGGTCAGTATGGATGTCGATGGTCGGTGGTCGATGGTCGATGTTCGGGTTTTAGAGTTACTTCTTTGTCCCCGGGCTCGGCAACAGGTTAGGGAGAGCACAGTTCAGGGATTGCCTCTTCGTGTTCCCCTTCTGTCCATGGGAACCCACGATGGCTCGACTTGGGCAAAGAGGGCACCTGGTTCCTTCCCCCCCCCTCCCCTTTGGGGAAAGAAGAGGGCCAGCGGGAGGCATGAGTGAGGCTGCAGAGAGGGAGGAAGGATGGCAAGAACGGAGTCAGGACTCATCCTCCTTCAGACATCCCCTCCCCCACACACACACACGCACACACACACACACACTCTATGCAGAGGCTGTGCAGGGTACATGGGGCTCACATGAGGTCCCAACCTGGAGCGGCTGGCAGGGGAAACAATGACCACAAAGTGTGGCCAGGCCCATGAGAGAGGAAGGCCGCTGCCCCAGCCTGTGGGTAGGTAGATCAGGGAAGGCTTCCTGGAGGAGGAGAACTCCAAACTCCCCATTGAAGTATATGTGTGACCTCCTAGGTAAAGAAAGGAGTTGATACCGAAACCGGCTTGGCTCAATGAATAGAGCGTCGGCCTGCAGATTGAAGGGTCCCAGGTTCGATTCCGGTCAAGGGCATGTACCTTGGTTGCGGGCACATCCCTAGTAGGGGGTGTGCAGGAGGCAGCTGACCGATGTTTCTCTCTCATCAACGTTTCTAACTCTCTATCCCTTTCCCTTCCTCTATGTAAAAAAAAAAAAAAAAAAAAAAAAAAAAAAAAAAATCAATTAAAAAAATGAAATGAAAGAACAAGAGCTAGTGTTTATTGAGCACTTACTATATACATATAAAAAAAGACAGAAAGAAAAAAAGGAGTTGAGAGTATATGCTCTCTACTTCCCTCCTCCTCCTTTATCGGGCACAGCAGAGAACCACACCCCCTCCCACATTAAGGAATCATTTCTGATGACAGGACTGAAGTCAGAAATAGGACTTTCTCTGCATCTAGCCCCTCGTGGAACTGGACTGCTGGGACAGTGGTCTCCTTTCCGGCCCCACCCTTCTGACATCCCAACACAGCATTTTTAAAAATATATATATTTTATTGATATTTTACAGAGAGGAAGAGAGAGGGATAGAGAGTTAGAAACATCGATGAGAGAGAATCATCGATCAGCTGCCTCTTGCACACCCCCTACTGGGGATGTGCCCGCAACCAAGGGAGAGGGATAGAGAATTGACTGGAATCGAACCCGGGGCCTTTCAGTCCGTCGGCTGACACTCTATCCACTGAGCCAAACCAGTTTCGGCCCAACATGACATTTCAATAGGAAAGGCGGATGCCCGGCACAGCCATGCCGCTCAGGCAGCAGGCCAGGCAGGCTCCGGGCATGGCTGGCCGTGTCCACCCTGCACTGCTGGGCGGGAAGCACAGGTGCTGCCCCTGCCCAGCTGCGCTTCCTTGGGCAAGCCACCTCCTTCTCTGATCCTCAGCTTCCTTCCCTGTAAAACAAAGCGAATAGTCTCTGCCTCTCCAGATGGCTGTGAGGTACAGGGCTGATGTAGGTATGCTCCTGGCATGCAGCAGAAGCCCAGGAAGAGGTCGAGACTGCCCTCAGAAAGGGACCTGCAGAAGGTCCAGGGCGGAGACTGTGTCTCATTTGCTCCTGGGCAGTACCTGGCACGTAGTAAGTGCTCAGTAAATCTTCGCTGAGTGACAAACGAACGAACAAGCGAACCTAGACCGGCTTCCCAAGAACCCGTAAACCCTCAAAGAGACTCCGGTGTGAGTCCTGGCCCAGCTGCTTCCCAGCGGGTGGCCTTGGGCAAGTGACCCTGGCCAAGGTTCCCTTTCCTGCAGACCTAGGACTGCAGCCTCCTGGAGGAGCTGTTTTGGGGTGTCAGTGAGGGGTGGCTGTGTACACCACCAAGTCCTGTGCCAGGGGAGCCCCTGTGACCAGCCCTGGGCCTGCTCAGGTGCTCTCAGGGTGTCCCAGACCTGCCTGGGCTGCTTCTGTCCCTGCCTGAGCCTCCTGGCTGCCGGCCTCATGGAGGAGTGGTCACTGTGATGGGCGTCCTGGCTGCCATTCACTCTCTTAAAAAAAACAATGAAAAAATATCCCTAGATGAGGATTAACAACAACAACAAAAAAATTAAAATTACAGGTGAAAAATAGCACCAGACTGTTGTTTTAATTTACTTTTTTTTTTTAATTTTTATTGTTCAAGTCAAATATTTTTCCTCCCAGTTTACTAATTGGCTCTATTTTTCCTCTTGAAGATGATGCTCTGTTTTTCAAAAAGTTGAAGCATCAGAGTCTCAGGAGCCCGGCCTCTGTGAAAAGGGACAGGCTTGCCGCAAAAGCCAAGCGCTGGAGGACAAACAGCCTTGCAGCGGGAATGGTGGTGACCGCCCAGCCTTCTGGAGGGTGGGGAGCCCACCCCCGCCTTACAAGGCCACGGGGAGATCTACCCTGCCCTTGGCGGCGAGGAAGTCATCATCTCAGATGAGGGAGGCCCGCAGTGTGAGATGATGCAGGTCGCACAAGAGCAGTGGAGAACCAACACACGGAGCCCCTTTGTCTTTGCAATGGGGCCCGCTGCGGGCAGAGAAGGCAGGGAAATCCAAGCGGAGAAGCCTGGCGAATGAGGCCAAAGGAGGAGCGGAGGGAGGTGGCAGCTCTGTGCAGGGGAAGAACACTGCGGAACTATGGTGGCGATGGGACAGCAGCAGGGGTGAGCGGCCCGTGCGGGGAGCTGGAAGGGCCAGTCCGGACTCTCCCAGTCAGCGAGCTCACTCAGGAGGGTGGAGCGGTGCCCACGGAGGAAGAACCAGGTTGGGTTCCAGGCCTGGTTGAGCTCGACTCAGTTCTGTGACCTGGGCATGTCTTTTTCCTCCCGAACCTCCGTGTCTTCCGCACAGAGAGTGAAAACACGCCTTTGCCGCGCACCGGGCTCTGCGCGCCCGCATTTGGCAATGCACCTGTTTGTCTGGCACACCTGGCTGTGCACCTGAGTGGTGAAAGCGGAAACACCCACAGGGACCTACCCACCCACCGGCGGGAGGCGCCCGGGGACCCGGAGGTGGCCGCGCCCTGCACCGCCGCCGCCGCGCTGACCTTCAGCTCCCGGCGCCAGGCTGGCTCGCGGGGCGCCGGATCCACTGCCTCCAGCAGCCTCCGGGACAGGGGCCGGGCCCGGGGAGCAGCGGGGCAGGCATGGCGGACCCCGAGGCCGTGGCCGAGGACCTGGACGCCCTCATCGACGACCTGGACTACCTCCCGGGCCACTTCCACCTGGAGATGCAGCTGAACTTTGAGCCGCGCTCGCCGGCCTCCCTGCGCGCCCGGGACCTGAAGCTGCAGCGGGAGGGCCTGCGGCAGGAGCTGGCGCTGGCGGCCGCCCTCCCGCGGCGCTCGGCGGTGCGCCACCTGCTGGGCGCCTGTGCCTTCTACCTGGAGGAGCTGGACGAGGCCCGCGAGAGCTTCCTGCAGGTGGCCCGCGAGGACCCGGGCAACCTCAACGCCTGGGCCAACCTGGCGCACGTGTACGGGCGGCTGGGGCAGGAGGAAGAGGAGGAGGCCTGCGCCGCGAGGCTGGCCGGCCTCATGGGCCTGGCGGCCGATGCAGACTCCGAGGCGGACGGGGATGCCCACGCCCGCGCCGCGCGCTGCCTGGCGGAGCAGGGCTATGCCCATGGCTTCGACGTGGGCTGCGCCAGCCCTGAGGAGCGCGCACGCGTGCTGGCGGCGGGCATCACGCTCTACGACAAGGCGCTGAGCTACGGGCAGCAGGTGGGTGACTCCTCCCCAGGCTGGGAGGGCTGAGGTTGTGCTCCCCCAGGTCTGCAAGGCTGTTCCCACAACCCCCTAGACCAGTGTTTCCCAACCTTCTCTCATGATGAGAATCACCTGGTGGAGTTGTTAAAACACAGATTCCTGAATCCCAACTAAGAAGTGCTAAACTAGAATTTTTGGGAACATATAGGTAAAATTGTATACTTAACTAGTGCTCTAAGACAGATTTTATATACAGAGCACTAAGTTAGGTATGCAATTTTACCTATATGTTCTCAAAAATTCTAGTTTAGCACTTCTTAGTTGGGATTCAGGAATCTGTGTTTTAACAACTCCACCAGATGATTCTCATCATGAGAGAAGGTTGGGAAACACTGCCCTAGACAAATCAAACCCTGGTCGTTTGGCTTCCAGAGAACCTTTCCAATGTCCCTCTCCTCTCCAGCATCCCCCGTGGGGCCCAGGCCAACTCTGGGACTTTTCTCTGCTGGGCTAGGGGTGGGCCCTCTTCCTAGTGGGGCAGCCTGCCACAGATTTTTATTCTGGCAACACCACAAACTCCACTTGACTAACTCATCCCTCTCATCCCGCCCCTCCCAGCAAGTAACTGTCCACGTGTCTGTGCCCACCCACCCAAGGAAAAGGCACCACGGGACACGGCTGCCAGACACTTGGGCAGCATTCTTAACCTCCTCTCTCCCCTTCACCTCCATCCCCATCCATTCAGACCTCCAATCCTGTCCATTCCGCCTCCTCCTATCTCTGAGGTCTGTCAGCTCCTCTCCAGCCTCCCTCCGCCAGCCCAGCCTCCATCAGTCCCTGCCTGACCCAGTCCATCGTCCCGCCTGGGTTCCTGCCCTCTGGTCTGACCCTCTGCCTCGTCCTCCACCTGCGGCCAGTTCATGTTCTCCGTCTTTCTTCCCATGATCCTCCGCTGCTTACAACCATCAGTGACTCCCACTGCCTGGCAGAAAGCCCAAGGCTCTGCTGAGGCCACGTCCCCCTCCCAGCCAGGCTTTTCCTGTGGTCTACTTCCCCTTGTCCCCCCTGAGCCAGGTCTCCTTACACCCACTTTGTCACTCTCTCTCGGCCTCTTTCTGAGGTGCCTTCTGCTTTCCTTTGCCTGGAAGGCTCTCCACAGTCTCGGACATCCCCCCACTGATTTCTCCAGGCTGCCTCCCTGGGCTCCCATAGCACTGCTCACACCGTCCATTTACAAGTCTGTCTCCCCAGTTCAACCTCGAGGTCATTGAGAGTGAGGACAATATTTGCCAGGCTTACCGCACAATACCTGGCACACGGCGGATGCACTAATGTATCTTGAATGAATGTAGTTACAGCACAGGGCCTGGCACTAAGTAGACAAATACTAGTGACCTATTGCTGCATAACAAATACCCTCCAAAACTTAGCAGCTTAAAGCAATAAGCATGTATTAACACAGGATTTGGTGGCTCCGCTGGGTGCCTCTGGGCTGTAGTCTCATCTGAAAGTTTGCTGGCGCTCCTTCCAAGCTTGTTCCGATGGCTGTTGACAGGATTCAGTTCTTCACTGGCTGCAGCCAGAGGCCTCCCTCAAATCCTTGCCATGTGGGCAGCCATCATTTTTACTACGTTCTGTTCAGTAGAAGCGCATCGGTAGGTCTAATCCACACTGAAAGGAGGGGATTCCACGGGGCACGGATATCAGGAGGTAGGGATCACTGGGTGCCATCTCAGAGGCAACCTGCTTTGGATGACCGACTAGTAGAGGCCTTGTCCTCCTTCCTACAGAAGAGGGAACCTCAGTTCTGAGAGGTATCGTGATTTTTCTGTGAAGGCACAGCACAGGCAGAGTTGAGCTGATAACGATGACATTTTATTATGGTTTAGATTTGTGATATCTAAATAACAACACGCCTTCACTCAGGACTCCACTCACAAAGCCTCTGTACATCCCCTTAAGCCTTTCCACCAGAGCTCTTGGCTTCAGAGAGGAATTGTGGAGTCCAGACCTCAGGGGGTGCAGGGCGGAGCACAGGGCTTTCACTTGAGGAGCAAGCAGGATAGGGTGGAGATGAAGACGGTACTCAGTCCAAATCTCAGCTCCCCCATGCTCTCTCTCCTCCAGTCCATCCTTAGCATCACTGACTTCGGTTTCCCTCTGTAAAATGGTCCTGATGTCCTTGGCTTCCTCCTCCGTTAAATGGGGACATTCTCATCTGGTTGATGCCACAGCTAAGAGCTGGTATTTGGAAAGCACCTGGAATAGAGCCTGCACAGAGACTGCAGGATCACAGACAACCCCTGCCTCTCCCGGCCTGAGGGGGTCACCCCCACCCCACACTGGGTGCAGCTGAGGCCATGCTGGGGCCAACAGGGGCCCAGGTCTCCTGTTTTAAAGCCCAAAGCCCTGAATGGCAGCTGGCCTCAGTGGGAAGGCATGGCCAGCATGTCTGTGTGGAGTGTGGTCTCGGCAGCAGAGTGGGGCCTACGGCCGGGGCTGGGAGCCAGGAGGCCTGCTGGGTGGGAAGGGTGGGAGGCCTTCTCCCGCCTGGGCTGTGGTTTCCCATCTGTGAAAGGGGGACCCGGAGCGGGTAGACGGGCTCGAAGGTCCCCTCCTGCTCTCCGGAAGGGGCTCCTAGGAAAGGCTTCCTGGAGGAGGGGAGCAGAAAGGAGAAAGGGTGGGTTTCCATGTATCATTGGGGGGTTTGGAAGGATGAGGGCAGAGATGAAGTCAGAGTTGGGGCCTGGGGAGAAGGAGATGGGACTAGAGAGCAGGATGTTTGGGGATAAGGATGGAATGGAGGTTGGCTCCTCCCTCCCTGGTGGGGCCACCTACCTGCTGAGGGGCCTCCCAGAGGAGTGTGGAGCAGGGCGCCGCCCAGGGCCCCGGGGAGAAAGCTGACTGCGTAGGTGGGAGGTGGCCACCAGCCTGTGTGCTGTGTCCTCAGGCCTGGCCCAGCCGCTGCTCTCCAGGTCTGGCCAGAGGGGCTGTGGTCAGTTCCCCCCAACAAATCCTAGGAGAAAGTTGGGAATTTGGAGCTCCCATTCCATCATCCAGGGATTAGAAGAGATTGTAAAGCAGCTGGCACAGAGTAGGCGCTCAAGAAATAGCTACACTCAGCATGATGACGATGGCTTCATTGTAGTCAGAGGAAGGGGGCTCGGTTCTGAGCCCCCAGCTGTCACGCTTGTCTCTGGCCTCAGTGTCTGCTCCGTGAACATTAAACAATAGTGATTATCCGATTGAATGGGGAGCTGAAAGTGTGCGTAAACCGGTCAATTCTGGGCATATCCCATACACATTCCCTGCTGCATGCCAGGCCCTGTCTTTAAGCGGCTCGTGGACAAAGGGAGGAGGTTTTTCTTCATTATCTAGACTTGCCTGGCCCCTCCTCTGGAAGCAGAAGCCAAAGGGACAAGTACCCACGACTGGCTGAGGTCACGGGCATCATGACATGGCCTGGGCCAGGTGACAGTCATCTCAGAGCGCTGTACGCCAAAGCCCATAGTTTCTGAACCAAAAATAGGCCCCCAGGTTGACAAGGGACGTGTCCTCGGGGGACATGGGGCCAATGTGGAGTCAGCAGTGCCCTGAGAGTCCGGGTGCCTGCGTCTGGAGGAGGAACACTCCCTCTCGGCTCCAGGGGCTGAGGGCTGCTGGGAACAAGGAGTGGGCTGACTGGCAGGAAGGAGGTGAGGGCACGCCCAGCAGAGGGCATAGGGGGGACCTGCAGAGCCCCAGGGCTTTGGTGACACCCAAACGGGAGCAGGGGAGGAGGCCCAGAAAGGGGCAGCCAGAAGCTTCAGGGGGAGGAGCACAGGACAGCCTGCTCCCAGGAATCTGGGTCCCTGGAATCTGGGTCCCGCCCTCCTCTTTGCCACAGTTCCTCCTACTCCCCTGGAACCTACTTATCAGCCAGTCTATACTTCTTATCCTTCTCGGAACACGCGGTGCTGTTTCACCCCTCCCTGCACAGCTAGGTGCCTTCTGCATAGAAGGCAGACTCCGCCCATAAAAACCAGCTCAAACATCACCCCCCTGAAGCCTTCCTTCCTCCCATACAGCTCCGCACAGTGAGATTCATGAAGATCTGTGGGTGCCTTCTGGATGTGATCCTAGGCCGTCCTCACAAGAACCCTGATCCCATTGTACAGACCGGGGAACTGGGGCACAGCCAGGCTAGGTAACTTGCGCCAGGTCACTGTAAGTGGCAGGTGAACCCACATCCCTCTGCCTGACTTCAAAGCCTCTGCTCTTTCTGGAGAAGTCAGAGAAGTTGGGGGGAAGGGGCGGGGAGCGGGGGTGATGAGTGCAGTGCAGATGGCTGGCGGGTCATGAGCGTGACCCCTTAAAAACCACTGGGTGGAGGAAGTGTCGAGGGAGGAAAGGTGGGTTTCCATGTATCATTGGGGGGTCTGGAAGCATGAGGGCAGAGATGAAGTCAGAGTTGGGGCCCGGGGAGGAGGAGATGGGACCACAGAGCAGCATTATGGGACCCCGTTGAGAGGGTCGCCACCCACAGCAGCACCGCTGGGTGAGCAGCTGGTGGTCTGACCCACCAGGACTGCAGCTCCCAGGGACCCCGTCCTAATGGGGTGGGCTGTCCCCGGCAGGAGCCCCTGCCGCTCAAAGGATGAAGAGCAGCTGAAGAACCAATGAACAGCTGCTCGTCTGCTAAGAAAATTACAAGAGAAAACATTACAAAAGCTAATAATTTGGCCCATAATCCAAAAACAAGCCGAGAGTGTGCGGGTGGGTGAGTGTTTATGACTTCCTTTCCCAGCTCTTCATTCCCTTCCCTCTTTCTCAAGTTACAAAAATATGATCAGGCAGATTGCTTTCATCTGTCATTCCTCTCCTCCTCCCATCCCCCTACACACACACACACACACACACACACACACACAGGCACAGATGGATTCTTGGGGGGCAAATCTCAAGGTTGAATGGGTATTAAGAATGTTTTGGCTGCCAAAACCGGTTTGGCTCAATGGATAGAGCGTCGGCTTGGG